TTGTCAATTAAGTATCACACAACTGTTTGCTCGCTCCTTGTCATTCCCAGTGGGTGGAGGAACAGAATAGGGAATGAAAAAAAAAAGTAAAAAAAAGTAAGACCCCCTTCCCCCAATCCTTTGTGGGTTGAGATAAGAACAGTTTAATGACTGAAATGAATTAAAATAATAATGAAAATACATTTTAAAAATTAAGAAAAAGAGTTGATGCATGATACAATTGCTCACAACCCACTAACAACACTCATCCTGTCCCCAAAGAGTGGCTGGCCCATTCCTGGGTAACTCCTCACAGTTTATATCCTGGGATGATTTTCTATAGTAAGGAACATCCTTTTGACCAGTTTGGCTCCACCATCCTGGCCATACTCCCTCCAAACTTTCTGTGTACCTCCTCACTGGCAGAGCATGGGATACTGCAAAGTATTTTATTTAGGGTAAGCACAGCCGAGCAACAGCCATCCCATCAGTGTATTACCAATGTTATTCTCACATTAAACCCAGAACACAGCATTGACCAGGCACTTGGAACAAAATTGACTCTATCCCATCTGAAACAAGGACAGCTGGGCAGACTACTCCAGTAAGGAACAACCAGCTTCAGGGAAGAAATACATTTTTCCTACCAGTCAAAGAACAGGCAAGTCCTTAACACCTTGAAGATCAGGGCCCCAGCATTGCTCTGAGTCTTTTTCTTCTATCAAAAAGAAGGTGAACAAAGCCAAAGCACATCAAGCAAAAGGTAAACAAGCAAGCAGTACTCCCCTTCCAAAGGCTCAGTGGGTCCATACCACCAGCCCCCAGAGGTACTGCAGATGGCAGGCCCTTCCAGCCTGCAGAGCATCTCCCTCCCACACACCCGGCTCAAGCAGGAACGGCCCCAGCTGGTCATTGCTGACATGCATCTGGGCAATTTGGGCAGCTGCTTGTATTGAAGACTTTGCTAAAGCAAAGAGAGAATTGTGGGGTTTTTTTTTGTGTGTGTGTGTGGTTTTTTTTTTCTTTAACACTAATGATCCTTTTTAAAGCAGCTGAAAGTCAGTAGGGGTCAATTTTCCGTAGGAAAATCCCCTGTTCCATTGTCCTTTAGGACAATCAATTTTAAGCCACCACTCTCACCAAAGCAGCACTGTGTAGCCAACACACCTCTGTGCAGTTCTCCTCACCTTCTCTTTGGTATTTTCTGACTCTCACACTCAAGCCAGGCTGAAAACAAACTCGTCTCATGCCTGCCTGGGTGTGAATAACCTCCCCTGCTCCCAGGCAGCGCTGCTGGCAGGAGGGAGCTGGTGCCAAGCACCCCTCTGCTGGTGAATGAATCCCCAAGGCTGGGAGGATGAAGTATTTCACACCCTGAAGCTGTACTGCCAGCCTCTGTTGTACCTCGGAGACATGAAACAGCCTGGAGAGGAGCTGTGGTGGCTGAGCTGATGAGTGGCACTGAATTAGATCTGGTGGAATTGTGTCCAGTAAATGTGTCCATGTAGAGAAGGAGGCCTCTCATGGTTGGGCTGACATAGGACGTGGGATCCAGTATGCTACAATAGGCATCATGCTCTAATTTGGGATTTTACCTGCCTCAAAATTCCACTCCCATCTGAGTGCAATTCCCAATGCAGGGCGACTCTGGCAATTCATGTCTGGACCTGTTCCTGCACAGTCTGATCCATAGCCCAAGCCATGCAATAATAACTTGCTTTTAAATGGTTTAAGTGCATGCACAAGCAGAAATTTAACCAATTTACTTTAACCACATCTTTTAGTCAAAGTGTAGATGAAATGTGCAATTTCCTTCCCCCATGGGATCAGGTTGTGGTGGAGGCTGCAGTGCTGGTCTCCAGTTCCACTTTTGTCCCTTTTCCTGCTGAAGCCACTGTCGCCAGGTATCCTGGCTGGGTTTTACTTCGTTTTCCCTGGGGTAGCAGTTCTGCTCCCCTCCAACAAATCTGCTGGCTACTGGACAAGACACAGCTTTCCTGGGCTTCAATTCAAATACACCCTGGGTGACCCGGGGAATCCCACCAAGAAGCTGACAAGGGCTAATTGCATCTTTTTAATTAAGTGACCTGCTGCCCATACCGCAGGTGCTGTGCTGCTCCAGAACATGTAGCTACTCAGGCCCAAAACTGGAGGGGATGGTTTGGTGGCTTCCTGTGCTTCCCCTCCACTACGATGGACACGGACGGAGTTCCCTGGGCTGCGCGCAAGGGGGAGCGTTCCAGGGAGAGCAGAGAAACCCTCCACAGTGGGACTTTTCACTTGTTTTACACGGTAAATGGTCACTGACGTGGCTCAATAAATAAAGCCAGGCGCGGGTAGGGCGCCCGAGGCTGGGCGACAGATTCGCGAGGCGGGAGAGCCTCCTGCTGGAGAGACACGGCGTGGGATGCAAGATGCGGGATGTAGGATGCAGGGAGCTGCCTCTGCCCGCTGTCCCCATGGAGCGACAAACACCGCTTACCGCTCATTTTTTGAACCACTCTCTTAATTCTTGAGGCTGCGCCCCTGCTTCCCTTCCATCTTCTCCAGCCGTTATTCCTTTGCCTCCAGGGGCTGAAGCTTGGCTCCCATGGGCACCTCTGGAGGAGCCCCGGGATATCCAGGTGGGGGGCACTGCTCATCCTCAGGGCTGGGACATGCAAGTAATATCCAAAACCCATGGGAGTGGGGAGTGTTTCTGGTGTGATGCTGGGCAATACCTTGGCTGTGTTTCTTCCACGGCGTTTGTCTCCATCCTCCTTTCCTGACATTGTGCTCTGCCTGGGGCTCCGTGCCATGCAGTTAAGGAAAGGGCAATGATCTCTGGAGAAAGGCAGCAAGGACATAGAATCATAGAGCTATTGAATTGCTAAGGTTGGAAAACATCTCTAAGATCATTAAGTCCAACCACTAATCACCACTGCAAAGCCCACTGCTAAACTGTGTCCCTGAGTGCCACATCTACATCCTTTTGAACCCTTCCAGGGATGATAATTCCACCGCTTCCCCGGGCAGCCTATTCCAATGCCTGACCACCCCTTCAGCAAAGAAATTTCTCCTACCACCCAATCTAAATCCCTGCTGCAACTTCCTGCTGAAGTAATTTCCTTTATCCTGTCACTCATTGCCTGGGAGAAAAGACCAAATCTCACCAGGCTACACTTTCCTTTCAGGGAGTTGTAGTGTGTGATAAGTTCTTCCCTGGGCCTCCTTTTATCCAGGATAAAACCCCCCAGCTGCTTATCATAGGACTTGTGTTCCAGACCCTTCCCCAGCTTTGTTGCCTTTCTCTGGTCACACTCCAGCACCTCTATGTCCTTCCTGTAGTGAGGAGCCCAAAACTGAACGCATGCTAAGGCATGGAACAGCATCCCACAAAGTAAGACTCTGAGCTTAGCCCCTGCAGCCAGGCTGCACTTACACTTGCTTTAGCAGTTGAACTTGATGGTCTTAGAGCTGTTTATGAACCTGAAGAATTATATGATTCCATAATATTTTTATAATAATTTTTAAAACGAGGTGCAGCATAAAGGGAGGTGATTTGTCCTGGTGTTATTCCTTTGTAGGTGTCTGCTCCCAGCCCTGATTGAGTCAAAGTGGGTTGCTGGTTGAAGCCAGCATGGCTACCCCAAGCAGGGACAGAGGAACAACTTCATCTGAGCTCTGGGTTCCAACAGATGAAAGCTGGGGCTCTGCCAACACATTGAAGGCATTACCACTGCCAGATGGCTGCTCTGTCCCTCTGCCATGATGGACATGCTTCCTAGCTGGAACAGGAGCAGGGACATCTGCCTGGGTTTCAGTCACCAGGAATTGCTGCTGGCCTCCCTGTGCAAGCTTGCCTTTGCTCTCAGGTGAGAGGATGGACTGTAAACCCAAACTACAGATGCAGATGTCCAGAAGGATGTCCAGAGGAGCCATGCAGCAGCCTGCAGTAGGGAGTGGCCCAGGCATGTAAGGGTGGTGACACTTTGCCCACTTCCACTGCTGCCAGGACTTGCCAGCAACTTGTTTGCACAGAGATCGAAGCTGTGCACTGATTTCCTGTAGCTGAATTCTGATAAATGCACTGGCTCATTAGATTTCTTTTGGGCCATGAAGTCCTATTCCCTCAGGGATGCCCCCAAACCTGATCTCCCTGTGTTAGAGAATTGCCTTCTCAGTATTTTTTTCCAGAGTGGCTTCCCGAGACCCAGCACAGGTGAATGCACCTCCTTTATGGGCACCCTAAAAGTGCATTTTCTTTCTTAGCATGGTTTGGATATCACGGGACCCTGCGTTGTATGTACTGCTGTGCAGTGCAAACCTGGATAAATTCCCTTTGAATGTCACATCCTCTCCAGGGACTGTGATGCATCTGAGTGTTACCTCCTTTAATCAGGGGAGCAAACAAAATTTGCCTTATTCCTTCTGGAAAAAAACCCACAAAGCAAAAAAGCACTGCTTTATTTCCATATTTTGACCAGAAATTCATTCCATATAGAGCAGAGAGTGATGTAACACGAGCTCCAAGTAGGTGCTTACATTCAGGCAGGAACTGCCTGACGCCCGTCGTTATTCACAGCCCTGGTGGCGTTGCCGGCAGCTCCGCGGGGCGCTGCCCCTCTGCCGCCAGCTGTGCGGTGTGCGCAGCTCACACAACATCTGCGCACAGCTGCCTGCCGAGGAAACCCGGCCCCGCTCCCCCCGGCCAGCCAGGAATTGCAGACAGGGAACAAAACAGCTGGCAGGCAGGGAGATGCGCGGGGAAGAGCGAGGCCGGATTTCTTGTCTAGCAAGACATAAATCGTCTTTCTAAAGGCAACCCAGGGTTTGTTTCGGTGTGGAGGGCTTCTGCCCTTGGAGCAGGGCTGGTGGGATGGGAGCGCCAGGCTGTGCTGCTGACAGGAGTTGAGACAAGGAATTCCCGGCGCTGCTGATAAAGCCACGTTAAATTGCAGGCGGTTTTCCTGCTCTGAGTCAGCTGCTGCCCCTCTGTCGTGGACAGAGCAAAGATGAACGGGGTGGGGGTGAGTGCACAGGAGCAAGGAGACAGCAGGGTCTGGGGAGCTGGGAGTGAACTGGCCCACAGCTGTTCCTGGGGGAATACAATCCAGGGCTCCAGCCGAACTGGCATGTTGTCATCTCGAAAGCGGCGCTGAAGAGGTGTGTGTGCTGGCGGCACCAGCCAGAAAGCAAAAAAGGTGCGCCAGGATGAGGGAAGTCTGGGACCCGTGGCAGGGCTGTAGCTTGAGCCAGGAGCTGGCTCCGTCAGGGATTTCTCTCTGCCTTCTTTTGCATCTACTGGAAAACTTTTCTGTATGTCTCTTAAATTACATTAAGGATTTTTACTGTGCCTCAAACTACTAGGAAGCAGCATACCTATGCTGGATGACACAAGAATCCCTGGGCTCTCCTCCTCCCCTTGCTCCCAGGGATGCACAGTGATGTCTGATAAGGCAAGGGAAGAGCAGCTGGATGACCCCTCACAACAGTGGCCCGACTCCCACTGAGGCACGGCACAACAGTCATCTTTTAAAGCTGTTTTAACACATCGTGCCGTGTCTGGGCTGAGGTTGCAGCTCTCCCTTGAGGTAGCAGAAGCATTTACCTCTCACACAGCTGCTGCTTTCTGTTTAGAAGCAGCTGAAGGGCAGAGAGGACCAGAGCAGTAAGGAGCTGGAGACACGTCACGAAGACCAGGCTGTCACTTGGGTCCCTTCCCACTGGTAACCTTTTGCCTCCTATGAATGCCAAAGTGTGCAGTGGCTGAGTTCAGGAAGAAACAGCCGACAAGTTTCACACATCAGGAAATTCCAGGTTTACACACACTGTTAGAAAAAACATATAACACAATAATCAGATTTGTTTTATTAAAAAACTTGCAATAAAATTCCTTGGAATTCACCATCTCAACATTGAGAATTGCAATATTTTACTAGTACGTAATAACACAGTCTCACATATTTACATTATAATCCTCTATTTAACAAAAATAGCCATGTTGAACTACTGATTAATGCTTCCAAGTATTAGCCTCAACATTTCGGTATTTCCCCCAGCTGAGTCACTGTCTATGCTCTTTAGCATTTACAGTATCTAACAGAGCAAAAAGGACACAAAATAATAAAAAGTATGTGTCTCATGATTTCAGGCAAATCCCTTTAAGATGGTAGTTCTCCGACTCCAACATTTTTCAAGAGAAATAAAGTGCATTGGAGAGGAAGATGTATACATTATAGAATGTCAGCAAAGAGTTAAAAGTTTATTTGCAAGACTGTACAGAAGGGAAAAAGGCAAAAAAAATCTTCACAAACTGCTACTGCACAGCTTTGGCAGCACATCGCAGGTAGCGGGGAAAGGGAGGGAATGAAAAAGCCAACTACAAGAAAAAGGATGGCCCATGCAAATGCCACGGTATGACTTTGCCATAACCTTTGGGTAGGTATTTCCCAAACCAAAGCTGCAGCATAGCCAGAGCCACAGTGCAGAAGTGTAACAACCCAGCATCCCCCCAGCTTGCTGAGCCTGCTGGCTCTGCCAGGCAGGGACAGAGAGCTGAAGCCTCCTGGTAAATCTGCTCCTGCTGTCCAGAGCAGGGCTGATTACTTTGGAGAATTTCACTGGGACAGACCATCGTCTCTCAACTTAATGAATTTATTTTGTTAAGCTGTGCACTGATCCATGTGGTATTTACTTCAGTTGGGATTTTAATTCCCTTTGTAACACTGGCATTTGCTGGTATAGCTCTGCTGCATGTGAGAAGAGACATGGCTAGCTTTGTAACTATCACTGAAAACCAGGATACTGCTGCTTTGTTCAGGAACTGCATATAAGTGGGATGCCACCTTTTTTTTTTTTTTTTTGGTTTGCTTATAAACTACTCTAAATAGAAATAATTCTCTTCTGGAAATGGATGGAATGTATATTTTGACAAGTACAAAACCGTTTTAAATGTTCACTAAAGACAAGGAACATCTTGGTATAAAAATAACAGACCCTCCCACCCACTGTCCCCTCTTTACATATCTGATTATAAAATGGTACAATCATTTCAGGTTCCTACTATGAAACAAGTATTGTGGATGGCATTACATACATATACAAAACATTTAGATATTTGACATCTGAAATAACTGTATACATTCAGAGCAAACAAGCATCTTGATGTGGCTATTGTGTTTAATGCTACTCAGGACAAAGAATCAAGAAATACACAAGAAAGGGAAAACGCTATTACTCCTTTTTTTTTCTCCCATTTCTTTTGCCATTCACTACAGAAAGAAATAACTTCCACCAATTCACAATTAAAATGTTGGAGAGAGACAAAATTAATTTCAGATGGAAAAATCATACATTGGCTTTTCATTCAACATTCACATCTTTCATTTCTTTATTTCTCCCTTTGAAATAGAGCTCCTGCTTAGAAGGGTGTTTCCTTGAAAAAGAAATGGGCAGATAAAGGGGCCAAGTGAGCGTCCAGCCCAGCGGGGTAAGTGGCACAGCAGAGGGGCAGCCCTCACCCTTGCCCTCACTCTCTGTCCCAGCCTGCAGCTGCCATCTGTTTCACAAACAAATTCTCCCTGAACAGTCCATCTGGCATTCCTCATTCTCTGAAACTATCAATTAGTTCAGGTAACATCTTGGTAAAATGAAAGCAGTGCTTATTTTCCCTATTTAAGAAGCCTGTGAAAGCTTTCCCTATTTAAGAAGCTGTGAACACCTCCAGCCTCGTTTTCCCTCAGCCCTAAACTACTCTACATTGTGTTTCCTGCTCACGCTAACCAAGCCGATTCACTGCCGTCATGCTGCCTGTGCCAAATACACTCACACATTTTTGCATCTACAAAACAAATGAGTCTGCATGGGCTCAGTGTTCATCAACAAAGTTCCAGTCCCAGGGTCAGCGCTAGCCATGAAGAAGCTTGGCTGTCCCCAACCCGCTGGAAGCCCATGACCTGCTTTTCACCAAGCCCTGGAGCTGAACTTGGGCAAGCTCCCTTCCCCTCTCCAACCTGCTCCGAGAGATACTGGCAGCACAAAACACAGGAGAGAAAGCAGCACTGTGCAAGTTTGATCCCATGATCTCCTTCCCCTGCAACAAATGCTCACCCTTGTACAAACACTTGTGAGACAGGCTGGGAAGGGACAGTCTGGATTTCTCTGCCATTTTAGTCCTGTGAAATGGATGCACCCCAACATCAGTGCTCTTCTTCCAATGACTTCCTTGGGATTTGATCCAGAGGTCATTAGTGAAATCCAAGGGACCACTTATCATATGTGATTTCAATAGTTTCCTTTTCCACATTGCCTCTATAAAGCCTTTTTCCTTGTGCCACAATTTCCCTCAAATAAAAGGCCTAAAAATGACAACTGCTTCTGATTTCACAACAGTACATACTCACATCAATGCACTTTTAAAGCATACATGTCAATTTAATTCTATGGAGTGCTTAAAGAATGAACTGCAGTGCTATGATAGTCCTGATCCTGGTTTTGGGGCTCTAAGCAGTCAGAAAATAAAAAAAACCCCAAACCCTCAGTAAGTGCCATATCTGTATCACCACCAGAATAGGTGAGCTGTGGGGAGGGGATGTAGACCTGAAGCCTTGCACATCTGCATGCACACATCAGGTGATTTGTGAGTGCAAAATTCTGCCTATGCATCCTACCCATTGAACAGACCTTTGGGAAGGCAGCATAGTGGAACCCAAGAAAATCCAGGTACACTCTGAGTGCAGTTTCTGTCTCACCAGGTTTTATCATGCAACCCAGCCTGAGTGATGATGAGCCTCACTAAGGCCAAATGTTTCTCCCACCTACCACTTGCTCATGGAAAAGAAAAGTGCTTCAGATAACAAGGCAGGAATTGCTGGGAGAAGCACAGGAACTTAATGACAGGAGTACCTTTACCTGGGAGCCCACACAATCTCCTGGCCACTGCCCCTGTGCAGGAGAGGCCCCCCACTCAGTCATGGCGCCAGCCTGCAGAATTGTATCCATGAACATTTGCTTGTCAGGGGGCTCTAGAGGACTTTGTTCTTTCCTGGCCGCATGCTAAAGGCTGCTCTCCCTTCTGAACAGCCAGTACTGCATCCCCAGCAGCTGAGCCCCACCTACTTAAAGCCCAGGCTTAGCGGGCAGCAGTACCAAGGTGTGCATGGGCTTGCAGATATACAGAATTAAGGCTTTCATACGTGTTACAAACACACATTAGGGGCTCTTTAATGTTTACGAAGCACCTCAAATTCCCAAGGCAGTTCACAGGTTATACATGCAAAGGATATTTTCAGTCAGGTCAAGCTTTAGGAAAACATTTCTTTTTGACACAGGGGCTTAAATTATGCTCATAGAAGACCTGTTGAAAATGCAATTTTGGTGCAAGTCCAAAATTAATTGTGTTTTTTTTTTTTTTAAGAAGGACGGAATAAAACATTTACTTAAGTGCTTTCCTAAGTACAGGCTTCAGTGATGTGTAACCCAGCTTTGCCCTTATCATCACTTAACAGTGCTCAGAGCTGCAGAACACCTGAGGACAGGAATGGAACAACATCTTCCCTGAGTGAAGCTGCAGGTAGAACTGGGAAAACAAAAGCAGAAAGACTCCTGACCCAGATTTGCTAGGATGCCTCTTCTAAAAGGTGCATCAGTAATTGGTGATATGTCAAAAACACTCATCCAGCCTGGCACACTGCCTCTGCTAGTGGCCACCTGTGGACCCTGAGGGACCCGACCTAACATGGGATATTTAGGAAGAGTGTGTGCACAGCACAAGACCTCTACAAAGTTCCTTATTAACTCTCAGAAATACATGCAGGGTCTGAATTACCAAATCTGTGATGCCTTTTTGAGCACAGGTCCCTTTAATGATTTTCCTGGGCAAAGGACCCAGCTCAGTATCAGCTGGGAGTTTTCCCTCCTGCCTTGCTTTTCCACAGACTTTGCTTGCTCTGCTGTGCCCTGGGTGGTTCTGCTACAGCAACAGCTAATTGGTCAATCTATCCATTGAGATGAACTTAATTCAGTTCATGAAATAAAATGAAGACTTTGTGACAGCTCCTCTGAAATCCAAGCAGTTTGGCCAGGAGTTCTCTGCCTGTGTGCTGAGCTACAGTGTGCATATGTGAAAGGATCACTGATAACTTGGACATCATGTTTGTCCTGTGACATGTACCACCCAGGCTCCAGTGCTGCAGAAGAAATTGTACCAGTGTGTGGACTTTCTGTAAGGAGCCCTGACTGAATATAACCAGCGTCACTCCTTCCCCTGCAGTTGTTTGAAATGAATTTCATTCCTGGGTCAAAATTTGATGTAAGCACCACTTAAATCTGATTTCAGCATTAGTTACAGAGCTTAATTGGAGCTGATGCAGTACCTTGTGCAAACTCTCGTGTGTAGGGATCAATTACAACATTGATGTGTCAGGCCTTTTCCACAGCAGCAAGGAAAAGAGCAGGCATAAAAGAATGAAGAAAACAAGATTACAGAACCACAAATATTGTCAAGACTAACCTAGTGTACCCTTTGGAACAATCTGCAACTTTCTTTTTCAAACAATAATTCCAGCTGCCTCTATCTCTTTAATTGAAAAAATATTTTAATTCCAACAGCTTCTAAAGATGTAACAGCACATTTATGAGTCATTTTCACAGAATCACAGAATAGCTTGGGTTGGAAAGGACCTTAAAGATCATCTAGTTCCAAACCCTCTGCCACGGCCAGGTGTGGTGTTGCATTTTATTTAAATGGTATGCTCTATCTCACCCCTCGAAAATGTATGGTTTATTCCAAGCCTGTGAACCTCCCCTGAAGCCCCCAAATAAACCTTCA